TAGCCAAGGACTCTATATCCAGCAAAACTGATCTTCCAAGTAGAAATAACAGAGATAAATTGTTATCAACATGCAAAAACTTGGGGAACATTCTTCCTATAAGCCGTAAGTTATCTTTTAGACCATGCACTTCAGACAACCATAATTACTGAAGAGTGACAAAACCAGTAAATAAAAGTTTGTGTCTAGAATTAAGCCTTAGTGAGGATTAAAGGGGATTGCTGTTTACAATGGCAGATGCTCTGACCATGAAGATATAGAACCACCATATATATATCAAGGCATGATGCCTCAGTTCCTTTTCATAAGATAAATAAATAAATAAAAGAGAGCATGTGTGTGAGTGGGGAAGGGGCAAAGGGAGAGAGAGAATCTTAGGCAGACTCCACCCTCAGCACGGAGCCCGACATGGGGCTTGAGCTCATGATTGTGAGCAGAAACCAAGAGTCAGATGCTTAACCCACCAAGCCACCCAGGTGCCTCTAGAAACACCATTTAAACAATGAAGATGAGCAGAGTATATACAAAAACAACACTTAACTCTACTTAGTAATCATAATCAGAAGTGGTATATTACTATTTTCACCCCATGACTGTTGTATGTGTAAAATGGAATTAGCAAATGAGTGATTATGGAACATTCTAATTCGGTAATCCTCTGTATCCTGAACCAAAATTTTCAGTGGGGAAGGAAAGAGATGGGAATGTAATATAGAACAAGGTAAGTAAAAACCCTGTAGTCCTGAATTTGAGTTAGAAATAGCAGTATGGGGGGGCCTGGGTGGCTCAGTAGGTTAAGTGTCCCACTCTTGACTTCAGCTCAGGTCATGATCTCATGGTTCGTGGGTTTGAGCTCCACATCAGGCTCTGCACTCATAGTGCAGAGCCTGCCTGGGATTCTCTTTCTCTGCCCCTCCCTCACTTATGCACTCTCTCTCAAAATAAATAAAAGTTTTAAAAAAGTATGTATGAACTCATGAAGTATTTTATCTTTGTGTGTGTGCATGTGAGGATGCACTTTTTTTTTTTTACCCCACTTTGCCCACTGAAAAGGTAGAGAAACGATCAACCAGTACATTCTTAGTGTGCAGACTATACTCTTGAATTACCATTTCCCACTGAAAGAAAGAAATCAGGGCTTCTTGGAGAAATGGCTGATTCCAGGTCTGGGTTCAGAGAAAGGTCTGAGATGAACCTGCAACATCTTGATGGACTAGATAGCAAGGAAATCATCAGAGACTATTAGGTTCAAGTGAAAAGGACTCAGGAGCCAATTCAAGAGGCCCAAATGGGACAAACTGAGCTTCAATAAGAATAAAAACTGCATTGGGTTGAAATCCAGCTAATACGTTTATATCTAGGAGTTCATTAAGTGACACTAGAATAAAACTATATGAAACCAACTGGCACCTTCTGAGTATGTCAGAGATGTCCTCATTATCTTGAAATGTGAATAAGGAATCAGGCACATATCCAATCTTTCCAGTATACTTGTACCACTGCATAAATAAATAATAGGTGAGGGGAAGTGTCTCCTCATACAATTATTCCAGCTAGTGTATGAAAACAACATGATAGAATATCATCATTGTACCACTGCCAATGAATGAATGGAGCTCTAGGCACTGAGATTAATGGGAACTAACATCAAATAAGAGTGAAGACCAGATCTGATGTGCCTTTGGTGAGAGAAAATACCACCACGCACAGTCTTGCCAAGAGGATCGGATCTCACTCTGATCCAGTCTCTGGAACCAACTGCGAATGTGAAGGATGTACAGAGGGCAGAGCAGTGTGTTGAACTGAACCCTGAGAAAGCAGTCAGCAACATCAGACTGTAGGAGATACTACAGGTCCCATGATTTGGATGCTGCACAAGTATATGATAAGAAAAATCAACGGAAGGAAAGGGAAACAAAACTTAAAACACATACCAAAAATGTTTACATGGACAAGACTAAGCCACAATATCTATGGATGCACACCTAGGTGAGGAAACCAAAATGAAACGCAAGGAGTGATTACTATAAAAGTGCGGGTAGGGGTCAATTTTGGAGGAAGAGAGGAGGATGGACATGGGAGGGGCTTCTGAGATGGCTAGAAAAGTTCCAGTTCTTGACTGGAGTGATACTTACAAGGGGTTCACAGTAAAGTACTTCATTAAACCATACATTTGTTTTGGGTAATCATCTGTATCTATGTTTTATTTTTACCATAAGAACATTTTGTGGGAAACAGAGAAAATAACGTAAAAAAGGATTTAAGATGCCAGTGTTTTTGTTTTTAAAAAGAGAATGCTGGTGTATTAAAAATGTTTATCAAGGCATGATGCCTCAATTCCTTTTCATAAGATTAAAAATACCTCTTGGTATTGCTGTCATAAAGATGAATATATTCTCAGTTGAAAGTAACTTGGGTCACTCAAACATTCGAACAAGAGCTGTGTGGTTTATATTAATAATGAACAATCTCAGACCTTGGTCACCCGAGCTGGGCATCTAGCCATAGCCTGTCTGCCTTCACTGTAACAAGAGAAGATGGTTGAAATGATTTCTAAGGTGTTTTACAGTTCTGTGAGTCTGATGATCATTTTCATATTATTAACACTTAATATGCATTTTCCTGCATTTCAGCCTACTGTAATTTACTTAAATGTATGCTATGAAACGCTTTTCCGAAGCGACCTTACCCGCCATGATACCTTCTCTGTGGGTCTTCCCTTTGTCATTGCTTTTCTCTGGAACTTTAGGCATTGATGAGGGTTTGGCTAAATAAAGTGTGGTGCAGGGGTGCCTGGCTGCCTCAGTCAATAGAGCACATGACTCTTGACCTCAGGGTTGTGAATTCAAGCCCCACGTGGTGTCTATAGATTACTTAAAAGAAAAAAAAAGTGTGGTGCAACCAAACTATGGATTCCTCTGCAGTCATCTGAAAGGACTAGGTGGACCTGTATTCCTGATATTGTAGATACATTTCCAAGATGAGAAAAATACACACATTCCAAACGTACACTGAAAGGGCGGGCCTACGCCAGCCGACTCCATCTTGTTCTGTGTCCTTCACCTTGACCACACCTCCTCCCCTTGAGTAACCCCCCCCTCACCTGCCTAACAGGACTCAACCCTT